GTCTGCTTTATTTTTTACTCTGTGACTGTGAGGGTCTTGAGAGTTGTGTCGATGATTTTGCTTGCTTGTGAGATTTTTCCTGTTTTTTCCACTTTAGAGATGTTTTACCAGGATGCAGAGTGGATTGTGAGAGTGCGAGCGAGAGTTCATCACCTGCCTTTCCATAATAGTACCATATGTCCAAAGGCAGCGTATGAGGTGACCCTGTGACAATGCTCTTTAAACTTTCTAATGTTCATTTTCAGGGAGTTTTCCTGGAATTAGACAAACTTGGCATCCACATTCTTCCTGTATGTGTGAACAGGAGCCCTCATCTGTCACATGTGCAACATGAGGTGATTTGAGTTTCAAGAGTGAAGCTTCTAGTCGCCGTATCTTGAAAGTTAGACAGTGATGCTGCTGTGGCAAACTCCACAATCACCACCAAATCTTTGCATTCATATTCAGTTTGAAATTCATTTTTTTGGGTATCCTTCTGGTCCTCAAAATGGATTTAGGCAAAAGAGTAGAGTATGTCATGGGTTCATTCCTTTTGAGCATGTTGACCTCTATCAAGGTGCCGGCTCCGAACAGCTTTGGTTACTGAAGTCAGGTGTCAGGGCTCTGCCTCACATCCCTTGTCTTTGGGTAAATCTCTCTTCCGTTTTACTTTTAAATCAGACCTTGGCTTTGTTTTATGCTTCAGCTGCCTTTTCAGTTCATTGGCATATTTTTTCCCTCTGATCTCACACTGTTTTTCAGCTCTCTGGGGTTGTTATTAGGATACAATCTGACCTGTTTAGTTGAAATAGCATCGTTACCGCAGAATGACATTTACAGGCAGAAGGAATTATTGAGTTCAGGTCTCGCTCCCTTCTCTGGCAGAATATCTCCTAGTCGGTGAGCTCAAAACAGCCTCTAAGTGTTTTCACAAAATTGTTATTGCAGATCTGAATTACTTTTGAATGAATCTTGAGTATTTTCTGTCTTTGCCTGTATTTGGCAGCAGTAATCTTATATAATGGTCTGAGAAACCAAGGGGAAAGTGTTGCGTATACTTTTTCTGGGTATATTTCCAAAACATATGTTTAGTGTTCTGGTCTAACATGGTGATGCTATTGCAGTTAGGCATGCTGTTCTGTGTTATAGGTGTGTGCAGTGCAATAGGCTGGAAGCACGTCCTCTTAGCCAAGGACATAGGTAAGTTAAGGCAGTTAACTTGTGAGGTAGATAGTAAGCATGTAACAATGCTCATAATGTCATACAGACTCTGAGCAGATGTTTTCATGAACTGTAAAGTTAGTGGCCCATGGATTATGTCATCATTTTCTGACTACATTGAAATTAGGATTTTTCTGGTAGTACATAAACAATTTTATAAGGAAAGCATCAGTGAACTTTCTCTGCATCAAATCATTTAAACATAAAAGCATTTAAAAGGATGGGATTCGTTCATCTTTGGGTGCAGAAGCTGAGCCCGTAAGTGATTAAAAGTGTGTATGGTTTAGCTTTAACTAGAGTGAGAACCCGAAGACTACCACCTTCAAACTTGACTACAAAATGTATGATGGAGTACAGCTTCAGAGGAGAGCTTGCAAAAGTTTCAGCAGTACACTCAGATATCACGAAGGATGCAGCAAAGTCTAGAACAGAAGCTTGTTAAGACAGAGGGGAAATTTAAAAGGAAAAGGAATCATGTACAGGCAAGATGGTGAGGAAGGAAACAATTGGAGAGAGATGACAGAAAGACAAGGATGCAGGATTGTTATAAGCAATCCTTTGGTGACAAGCCAAGAGGAGGGTGGGTGGGACAGGAGGTGGGAGATGGGGAGGAAGAGGGTTGGTGGATAGGGCAGAGAACTGAATAAGCATCAGGATGATTGAATGTGATCGAGAGAGGTGGAGACAGAGCTGGTTTCCAGATGCCTTGCCAGAAGATAAAGAGAAAGTAAGGAGCCAGAGTCCTCTCTAGGGAAATGCTCAGAGGAAGGAGAAGAGGAAATGGGGAATAGGAAGAGGGGGGCAGACAGAGGGCAAGTAGAGTTTTCCGGTAATACAAGTGGAAAAAAGTAGGACAAGATGTTAAGCATCAGGAAAAGAGATGGACAATATATTGGGCCCTTTGTTCCATAACCAATTATGGTCTGTAATGGCCAAATCATTTATTTGCTGATAGAGCATAATTGCACGTCAGAGGGTTTGACTAGTGGTAACTGAGCTAATAAATCTCAGATGATTTACCGCAGTCACACGAGCATGCACACACACAGACACACACACTGATCATTTAGTGTACACGAAAAGAAGGGAGTGTTATCCTATCTGCTTGCTGAATCACAATTCCCGCTCTACTGGAACATTAAGTAAACCTGCAGAGATGCTAATGCAATTACGGCACGCTTGCTCTGTACACAAATCAGAATAATTAAAAGGTCAAAGAGGACTCAGTAAGCCATTAATATCTCATCTGTATGTATTTGTTGGTGCTAAATTGCTTGGTGGATAGAGGGTTGTTTTTCAAAGGTAGAGGATACGCTTTTTTGTTGCTTGTTGTTTACTTGTCCTTGCAAGGCATTAGCTCTCTGCGTTAGGTTAACAACACACTTTTCTTTCCTGTCACTTATCAACATTGGCAAAAACACAGAGCTTGAACGCTAGTACTCATGTCCCATACAATGCATACACATGCACAATGGAAATGCAGTGAATACTTTAATGTGTGTGCAAGTGTTTTAGTCTGTGAACTCCAGGGAGCAAAGCTGCGTGTTCAGCAGTTGTCAATCCCTATGTGGCCATTGTTAACCTTGCATCGCTCAGCAGGTGTCCCGCTGCACAGGGTAAATTATCTGTGGGTGTTCAGTACAGTGATAATGGGGGGTTGCCCTTTGTCTAACCATCCCAAACACTTAATTGAAAAGTGTGGAGATATGCCAATGTGGTTAGCACAGAGGACTACTTCATGTGCTTTAAAAAACTTAAAGCCTGAAGTGTGGCAACTTACTTTAGTGAGATTTGCATAATCATTTCGGGGATGCTTTTTTTTTTACTGCAAAACATGGCTCGATAAAAATGTGTGTAGCTTTCAGGTTTAAAAAGTTAAGTCATGGAATACATGCAAAACAAGAGAAAAGGCACACACTTTCTAATTCGTGATTGACAAGTGGATAACCTATGAAGATGTGCAGCGTCTCTCCATTTCTCTGTCAGATATCGCTCATCGCTTGTTACATCTGGTTTTGAAACACAAAGAGCCAGAGTTACTACGTGGGGGGGAAAACAGTGCATGATTGGAAGCCCCAAAGATGTGGTTAGTTCTATGGGTGATTTATAAAAGTTACAATGTTTTGGAGTCAGTCCATTACAGAATACAGAATTTAAAGGAAACAAAAAGATTTCTAAAAATGTTCAGATTAAGCCTTACGCATTTGTATTAACATTTTGTTGGATCTTTGTCATTTGACAGTCTAAACATAACATACGTTAATTTTTATTTATACATTTGTACTTACATGTCAAACATGAGTATTTTTTATATGATTTCGCAATGATAAGCTTTATTTTAAATATATATTAAATATATATTAAACGACTATGTTATTTTAATTTCAGCTGTCATTTTTCGATGACAACACTGCGCTGTCGTGCAGGCGCTATGGCGACAGTCTGTTGCTGCACATTATTTTGATGCAGGAGCTGTCAGATCCGGTATGATTTTATCCTATGGGAGACATGAAGTAATCGTATCGTACATCATGGAAGACAGTAACCCTAACAAAAGACTCAGATGCACTCAAAAGAAAAAAAGCAGCTACTTGCATTGCTTTTCGAGGGCGATCTTCATCCTGAGGGCTGCCTTGACCTTTTCTTGCTTTTTATGAAGGTCTCTCAGGTGCCGATCTTGACTAAATCTAACATGTTAATCAAACATTATTGCTGTTTCACAGGGGAAGAAAGCAACGGCTTTGCTTTCATTCATCTAAGATTTTGATTGATTGTTGCTCTGTATGATTCTTGAGAGCTGTTGAGCTAATCCCAGGCCCAGTGTTGTTAATTACCACACCTCTCGCCTCCCCCGCCTGTGATTGGCTATCTTTATCTGAGCAAGGATGCACCGTGGGGACTGTGTGTATCTGTGTGTGTGTGTGTGTGTGTATATATATATATATATATATATATATACACCACTCTGATGGGTCTCTTTTTATCAGAGCACATAAAGATGCAAAGATTGACGATCTTTTCTTCTCCTGTGGGCTCTGCTGGTAAGGATTTGCGAGATGGAGGAAAATAAATATATACACTCTCCCTCAGTTTATGCAAAGGAGAAAAAAAAGGGAGGAAAAAGTGGAGGCAGATGGAGGTGAAGAGGAGGAGGAGGGGAAGATGAGGAGTTGAGGACGGGGGAAGCAGGTGGGGAGCGGAGGTGTTGCCGGGGTGACAAGAAGAGAAGGATGAAGTGGGACGTGCCAGTGGAGCGTCGGTAATCTGGGGCTCTGGCTGGCTGACAGTACAGTCATACACACACTTGCACACATACCCTTGCTCAATCTATGGCCTGAAGCGCACAACCAGTGCACACAGGTCTGCAGTCGGTGGCCTGTCTTCAAGGTGTTTTAGGGGCCAGGGCGAGCCATGTTTTCTCCTCCTACCCTGGCACGGCCACTCAGATGGACATAATGTGGAAGATGAAGAGAGAGAGAGCGAGAGAGAGCAGCAAATAAGACAGACAGCTAGGGACACACAATCAGACAGAGAGAAAAGAGACAATGTTTGGAACTGGCAGCCTCACTTTTCTCTCTCTCGCCCTCTTTGCTTTCTTTGTGTGTGTCTTTCTCACTCGCTGCATTTCTTCCAATACTCCTACTCTCTCCCAACTCTTTCACAATCCTCTCGTCCCTCCCCGCCTTCCCTCGCTTTGAATTTTTTTTTTTTTTTGTACGCAAATGTCCGCCCAAGCCAGTGTCCCAGTAAGGTGGCAGCAGCAGGGGATGAATGAGGAGATGGATGGAGGGATGGAGTGACCTAGAAGAAAACAGAGAGTCAGGGATAGAGAGCTAAAAGGAGCACGGATGGAGAATGCTGGGAAACCCTCAGGTGGGCAGTCGGAGTGGTCCCCTCACTCCTCTCCTCCGTTTGTGTGTCCTGGTCTCTGCTCGTTTTTGTCTATTGTCCATCTCCTTCCTTTCTTCCCTCTTTCTTTACAGAGTTTTCTTTGAGCATTGTTGGATTTGCTTGGATGCTTGTGGCTTTTAATCTTGATAACTTGCAGCACTGAGGGACTTTGTGGATGTGTTTGACAGTGTGTTTGTGCATCTGTTTGATTGTGGTTGGTTGTCATGAGAGTCACGTAGCTCTGCTGTCTGCCTTTGCTTGCCTCCTGTATGTTCAAAGGCTGTTGAGCTTGGTTGCTCCTTTAGGACTTGCTGCTGTTGCTGCCACTGCTGCCTCATTCATGAGAAGCTTCTTCATAAACTCTGCTTTTGTGTCCCATGTGCCCTTTTGGAGTTTTTAAGTCATTTGTAGCCAGTCAGTTGTAGTTCATTTGATTTCTATTCTTGCGTCTTCTGCTGCCATGCTGGTTTATATTTGTGGTTTTTTTGCAAAAACTTTTCTTTTGCTGCTGTTGATGCTGATTTGTATTTACTGACTCTACGAGGGCTCCTACAATCCCTTAAATAGTGAACTTGTCTGTTTCCAAGGAGATGTCAGCTTGCCAAAATAAAAGCCCTCAGTCAGTGTTGCCACTCCCTTTTCATTTTCATTTTTCTCATATTCCTTTCTCTGTCCCTCTGCTGTCTGCACATATTTAGTACTAATATGATCCAGGGAAAACTAGTTGGATGATGCAACGGGACAGCTGGGCCAGCAAGACCAGTTATTCTTCACAATTATACCACTCTAATGACCTTAGTGACAGCATGTGCGAGAATTTGTCGGGTGAGAGCATCAATGATACTGTGAAGCAACTACAACTTCTCTTTAGATATTTCTTGATGACGACTTCAGCTGAAGAGGATTGTGGTGAGATGCTAACATGGCACCTTCGCCCTCCAAAGCAGGGATATGACAGTAATGAGGGTGTGGGGTCTGTGTGTGTTTTTGTGTATTGGAGTTCTCATTAGCCCACTGGGTTTTAGTCAATAGAGGCCAGCTCCTCTCCTCCCTTTTTTGTCTCTTCCTGACAGCACACTATAGCACAAATTGGGATATGTTTGCAGTGTGTATATCTTTCAGGTGTGCGTGTACTGGTGTGTATGCAACCTGGTCAGTAATCCCCGATTTACAAGATGGCCTTCTGTTTCCCTTTTTTTTATTGTTGCTTTACAAGAAGGCTCCTTCTCCCTGTTAATTAGTCAGCTGAACCCCAAGAGTTTAAACCATTATTTATTCATCATGCCCTTAGTTCAATCTCATCACTTAATAGCGAGTTAATGTGTGTCTGTACGCGTGCTTATGCGTGCATTTAGGATCAATGCCAGAAGGATGCAGGGTTCACAGAGTCAAACCGTCTAGTACACAAACACATACACACATCTTTGCAGAGATTAAAACGCAGCAAACTCTTCCTGAATAAGCGACTTCCTTCTTCTACGTCTTCTAAAAATGCCTACAGTCTGTTGTCTTCATAAAATGAGTTTTTAAAGGATTCGAGACAGCTAGACAATAGGCGGTGGGAGATTAAAAGTGGGCAGCTGACATTTGTGTGTGCTGGGATTGCTGTGTGGAAGATCTATGTTATGTGAAGGATCATAGATAGTATGTGGGTGTGTGTGTGTGTGAGGAGGGAAAGAGTAAGCTTGTTTGGCATTTTAACATGTTTTATTTAATCTGTTATGTGCTACTCATCGTAAATCAAATGACAACTTGTCCTGACATTCGACACATGATAATCCGAAATATTTTAAAAAAAAAAACAAGTAATACAGTACCTTGCACTTTTTTGTAATTTCAAAAATATCACGATGGTACTGTTTCTTGTAAATTGTATGGTTTACAACAAAATGTCATTCTGGTTTATTTTCTATTATACACTATGTAACACTTGTTCTCTGAGTTATTTTCCTTACAGTGTTTTTGCATTTTAAAAAGCCGGGTTGATTAATGTTTGTTCATTTTTATTGTAAATATACTCTCTGGTTATAAACCTTGTCGAATCAGCTTTTTGGCTACAGTGGAATTTGTTTTAGAATCAACCTGATCTCTTTCCAAAAGACAGACTGTGAGACAGAGTTCCCATTTATAGGGTGTTAACCTGTGTGAATATTGATTACAGCACAAGTCTTTTCTAAATCTTTTTCATGCATTTGTCTTATATTGTGGACTCTCTGAGGAGCAAGATATGATGCTCTTTGATGACAGAAAATTGCTTAACAAAGTGTTTGTGGGGGTTTTAGTGGTGAAAAGCAGCAAATCCTCACATTGCAGCACCAGAGACCAGCAAAAATTGTCCTTGATGAAGGGCATTGACAGTTAATCATTCGATGCATTTTGACAGTTTTTTTTTCCTTTGTTTTGTTTTTTACAACTAGTATTTCACTACACCGAGTTATTGCTCCTGTTAGTTAGGATTCACTTTAAAAAATGCAGCTTTGCTTTGCCTTTATTCTCCAGGCACAGTTGAAACAGCACTTGAAACTCTGGAAGCGCACTGTTTGTCACTACCATGGAAAAAAGGAGAGAGATGTAAGGGTAAAATTGTTTGTGAAGAGACAGGAGAAAGGAGATGATGAAGGGCTGCGGCAGCATTTTTGAGAGCCCCATCTTACCCTCAAAGTGATATTTCTTTTTGATACATTTTCTTCCTCCTTTTCAGTCACATTGACACGACATGAACAGTCGACCTCTGGCAGCAGCTCTCTGTGGAGATGTGTTCTCACCACAAGTGTCCAGGTTATATTTAGAATATCAGCAATGGCAGATTTTCTGAAATATAAAAGCGTTTAACCTCCTCTTTCCACACTTGGAAACATATGCATGATAATGCAAGAATTTCTAGGCATTAGTTGTCACACTGCAAAATCACATAAAGACCATTGTCATGGCTAAATTATGATGTAACATCACAAACCTACAGTGAAGTGTGGAGTTACGGTTGGTCACAGGGCAATTTTAGTTATTTGGTGTGTTTGCTTATGGCCAAAAAGAAACTAAGAGTGAGTCGAAACATCTACATTTCTATCTTTTTCTATTTGGAAAACCCCGTGTCCATGAACCCATACAATCAAGGATTTTCGCTATAAGCTGTTAAGCATTATAACACAATTATAGCACATACAAGGACAAATGTCTAAATCTTACTGCCTTGTATATGAGACACTTCAAAGCCAGACCAGCCTCTCTTTAACAGGGAATTATGACAATCTAGATTAATTGTTAATCCTAATATGATAGTCTGCATAATGAAAACTAGGAAGGACTTTCATCCTTGAAATGATAGCAAATCACACTAATCCCTAAATGTTCTCAAAGTAACAACAACATACTCTGACTACATTACATAATTAACAATCCAACACAATGGGCAGCACATTGAACACATTTTATAAGTGGTCAGAAACTTGTAAATAACTCCTGAAAGAATAAAGTTATGTTGAAACCAAGCACACCATTGTTTTTCTTGTGACATTACCAATAAGTTTGATGTGTCACATGGCCCTCTTCCTATTGAAAAAACAAAAGTTGTATCCAGGATGGCCGACTTCAAATGGCCACCATGGTCACCACCCATCTTGAGGAGTTTGCCCCCTCACATATACTAATGTGCCGCAAACAGGACTTTAATATCACCAACCATTCCCATGTTATTACGGTGTATCCATATAAATGGCCCACCCTGTTCTTCTAGACCAGTTAATCTGAAGTAACAGGTAAATGTAACCAAAAATAACCTTCTTAAAGATATTGCGTTTGTACTCATTTATAAATCCAGTATTTGTCAAACAAGATTATTTTTCATTTACTCCACAAAGAAAAATTGCCATCTCTCTCTGTTTGTCTGCCAGCAGGAACGTTAGAAAGTTTGCAGAAAGGTACAGCATCGGCAGAGGAAGACCCCATTAGTTTTCCAAGCCCGTGAGCATCCTGTTAGCTGCATCTTAAATGCTATACCACCACCAGTGGTCACAAAAATATGATGGATGTACATTTTTAACCATTTTCAGACCTGAGATACTGGTGGATTGCTTGGCTCCAGCTAGGAGACAAAATGACCGTATGACATGAATTTTTAATATCCATTAAAAATAAAAACACCCAAAAGTTATCAAATAGATTATTTCTTTCCATCACATCCGATCAAAATTTACTGCAAAGCTGTGAAAAACATGCTGACATGTGGTCATATGTCAGCATTGCTTTTTGTCTCTTAAGTTAACTTGTTATATTGACCCTTGGGACCCTTTTTTGAGAAAACACAGTTTGTGGCACTGGACCACTGAAAGTGTTGCAATAAGAAAGTTTTTTATAATTTTCTATTATCCTATTAGCTCTGAGAGTATGATGACATTTATGATGAAATCTTCAGTGAATGTCAGCATATATGCAAAGTGACCTTTGGCCTTGGCACAAAGGTCTTTTTTTTGACCATCTACTGTTCCATAAATCCTATACTTATTCAGGATTGCACTGCACGTGTGAAAACAGTTTTAATCTATTTTTTTATGACTTAGAAAGCAGTTTGTTTTCTAATGGTTCCAGGTCATGATTGAAGCATGGCTCTGGGCCTTCTTCATTCATTCCCTGGGCTCTGCCGCAGCTTTATGTCCTGTTGACCAGCCACAGTGTAGCAATGCCAATGGTGGATCTGGGCTGAGAATCAGGAAGACTAGATTTTTGGAGGTTGAAACTATTTGTGTCGTGGGCAGGAGATGGTTTCGGTGTTGGGGGGTGGGGGAGACCATGAAAGCAGTGCTGTAGCCAGAGGCGCCATCTACAGACAGAAAAAAATGGAACATTTGTACACACATGCTTCAAATGGCTTCAGGGTGAGAGCAACAGCAGGTCAAAAGCAGAATATAACTAGATGTCAGATGGAGATGAGAGTGCTTAGTTTTCTTTCTTCATATAATTAAAGCCAGTGTTGCATTTTTTTGACT